TGCCGCGCGATAATAGCAAAGCTAGCATGCGAAAGGTCCCGGGTTCGAACCAGAGCGGCCGCTTTTTCTGAATCGGGTAGATTAGTCGTGGTTGATCAACAACCCCCCATAATTATCTACTTATGAGATTAAACCAAACACACTCAGTAGCAGAGTTAGACATGTGTTCAAGTTCCATTTACACTCATACAGGCAAGTGGATGTACACGAGGAAACTCAACACGTAATGTAAACCCTTGTGTGACGAATTCACGTGTCAGGGCCAATTGACGGTTCGGCAGTAGCCCATCACGGCATCATACCCAGGGCATGCTGCACAGAGTCGTTAGTGGCGACCACGCTAGAGACACAGCGCACTCTGAAGTGATGCGGATTCACATTTCTCTATTCCATCACTGATAACAGCAACCCGAAATCATATTATACAAAAGCTAGCAACTAAAAAAGTAACCATAAAACAGGAGCTAATGCTGTATAGATCTCTCTCTCTGTCAGTCTAAAGTACAACGCCGTCGCCGGCTTGGTTAGATTCGATGCCGATATGCTAGACATTTGATCTGTGGACGCCTAGAACTGCCGAGGAACTTCGTCAACCCCTACGGGCATTCGCCGCCATGGCGAGAGGTCGCTCTGCTTCCACTCTGACCATATCGCTATCGAACTCGTCCTCAGTGGATAATTTGTGGCACATCTCTCATTTCAAATCGACCTTGACAAAGTGGTACCATAGGAATTGCAGAGGTACACTTGTGAAATGCCAGCACGCATGCGCATCTAGGAGCAGAAGGTAGGGAGGGAAATCGTTGAGCTCAAAAGTATACAACAAAGGTCGCAACATAGATCCATCTCACGGGCTTTCCACGACGCCTGTGTGTAAAGGAGCAGTAACACCAACTCGCGACCATCACTGCTCCCACCGAACAGGCCACTTGCATGTTCCAACCGTAATAACAACCAGCGGAAATTGCAGGAAAAAACCCAAGATTAACTTTTGGGCACCAACGGCAACCGTCCAGACTTCTCACCAGAAGCATCAGTGAGATGAGGCCGATCGCCTCTGTGCAAATCTGTCAAGCGGTCTCGAAAGCCAGATGAAGCCGATCATAGAAATGTGGAATAGCAAAGACATCTTTCTCTCACCGAACAGTATTGATATCCTACAAACAATGTTGTATCAGACGTGACCATGTTCACGTGCTCCACAGACTTGGGCGTTGCAACAGTTAAAGTCAAGGCACCTTATTTCACAACAGCACAAGCAGCAACCAAAAACAGTGTCGAAATGTTCTCTCCCACTTACATCAGCGTGTCTGGTAGGATCAAGTGGATCGATGCTTCCACGCTGTAGTAGCTCATAAACGGGTGGGTTGGCATTCCGCAGTACATAACATGTACCGAGCATCTCGACTACCCTCTGCTGCGGTGAAGTAGATGCCCCAGAGATGGAGACCATGTACAACTTCACAACTGCTTAACACGTGGGCAGATTCAACGAGGCGGAGCGAAGCAAAAAAAACCATTCAATCGGAAACGACACCAAGCATGGCCTTCAGAATTTAAGCGTCTCGGTCGTCACTCGTCTTGGATCGTTAATGTGCCTCTTCGGTGGTGGCGGCGCGCCGTAATACGATATCGTGGCTTTGGCCGCTTTCACATCCTTCAAAAACGGCTTGTAGTTCTGAAATGAAATACACAAAAACCGTCGGGCAGAACTCTCAACCTACTGCTTCAGCCTTCCCATACACATCTTCCAAGATAAGCAAATCTTTGTTGTCGAGACTATCGAGTAGCAAACGAACTTCCTTCGCAGTCCCCTGGCACACGGCAACGTATACAAGGGACCAGTGTTGGAAAATATGCTCGCTCTCTTCAGCTCAGTTCCGGAGGGTTTTTACTAATTACACAAATTCACGTATGAACTCGGGTGGGAGGAATGTAGGTAAACCAACAAGAAATTCCCGAGATGTCCTCAGAATTCCCATAGTGTCACCAACCAGATG